GAAGAGAAATCACTTTGAAGTCGCTACTTTCGGAGGGTCGTTGCTTTTAGCCTTTGCTAACAGCTGTAAAATTTTATCGCTACTTTCGGCGGATCGTTACTTTGGAAACTTTACGGTATATGATTGTCTATTCTGTAATGGCCTTCTTCGATTTCTAACAGGCTTTTTAAAATTCAAATCCGGATTCCCCAAGGACATATGTTATCAGACAAATTTATACACTAAATCTGGTTCGAGTTTCGAGGACGACTAAGAAATAAATTAAATCTTTATTGAAACTAAGAGTTTCCAGTCAAAGGAGTCCTTAGCGTTGCACCAACGTTTTCAGCGTATTCTTGTTCTCAAGGGAAACTTATCTTATCAGCATCCTCCACACACCCTTAGGGATGCTTGGGTGCCCTTCAAAATAGAGCTCTCTTTTCTGAACACCTCAGCAGACAATTGGGCTATCGGAAAATTACCTGATCACCCTAGTACTTATCAAGACATTACACTGTCACAAGCGTCATCCTAAAGTGACTACAAAATAAAGACTATCCTAACGATAAAAGATGATAAAACTGCATAGAAACATGGTAAAAATACCTGATAGCACTCAACATTGCAAGCAGTTGGTCAAGTCTCCGATCAGGTATTAATCGTCCACTAGACAGTTCACTTCTGACAGTTTCCATATCGCCGTTGTAACAAATTTTGAGATTAAGACCAAACTTCCTGACATCGTACTGTAATAAGAGCAGTTCAAATTGCAGCTTTTGTCTCGTGAGTTCTACGTTGATCTCTCGAAGTTCTCTCTCCGTAACGCCTGCAGCTGTAAAGCGTTTTCTTAAGAAATCCAACTCCTTTTTACAGGCGGAAGCTAGAGATAAATATTCCAAAATAAATGGAGTTAAGAAGGCATTCTCTAAAGCGTTTGGTAAAAAAGCAGTAAATTAGGAATAAGAGAAAAAGATAGAACAGGGCATACGTGTAAGCCATTTAGCCGGCTTGTGGGTTCTGCACGAGAGCCTTGTTGTGGCGGTGGTGTACTATCTTATCTTCATAGAAACATCATCAAAACTTTTCATCAGAAATATAATGTGCCGAGGACTTACACCAATCATTGCGATATTTTTCAATGAGTAAAACGTCAGCAAGATGTAGACTTAAAACTTCTAACGTCTAAACAACCTGCCATTTAATGGTACATACACTGTTTACTTTAGACGGTATGCCAAGGACATTACGTGTATCACCCGACTGTTTTTTTATCAGCAGTGATACGAGTCTGAGGGTATATTGACATAACTACTGAAGAAATAAAACCCACCTTCCAGATGAAGGTGTTGCTTGTTGTGCCACTTTACAGCCACTTTCTGTAAGTCGCAGAGGTGTTGATTTATCCTCTCGCTCATCGCACAATACCGCTCCATCAAAGTCACTTGGTTTTCAGTTACAGCTGCCATTGTTCCTTTCGCCAGTCTGTTAACACTGCGCTCTAACCTCTCAAGATCCTTGGCAAGGTCATCTTTGACACCAAATCGCCGTAGTTCGGTTAAACGTGCCAGTAGTCTTCCTTGGGTTCCGCTTATTTCTTGTGGATTTCCATGGGCCGCAATCTTCACTTTTGCGATGTCTTCCAGTCGCTGTTTGATCACATTGCCATATCGCAAGCTTTTGCGGATTGGAGTACTACAACGAGGACACGTCTTCATTTTGATCAGGTGATCATTTGCACCACCACCATCATCATCGGGAGAGTCCATGTACCTATGAAAAGAAAAGAGAAGAGAAATAAAGGAAAATTTCTTAAGTTCGGGGAACAAGACTTTCCAAACTAACTATCAAAATCATTGAAAAAGTTTCAAGCCAACTAGGAGGTGTCACGAACACCTCGACCTCTCAAACTATCTGGTCTATAGATGGTAAAACAAAGTGGCACGTAGGCCCTCCCAACTTTTTAGAGGTAATTATCACTGACTGGAGGTAAGATGGAGGCTTCAACAAAATGATGTTCAAAAACATTACACATACTTTCATTTACCTGTCTAGCTCAGCAACCGGAAAAATATGTTGGCAGTCAGGCAATTTAATGAACCGAGTGCCTTCCTCGTTTTCTGTGCCAAAGAAAATCTCGGTAATTTGCTGACCATCATTTACGTCGCAAACTCTACATATACACGGCTCATTGCACAAACCACAGCAAACGTGCTGACGACGGCGACCTCCACACTGTAAGACCTTCTGGCACGGCTGGTTGCACCTAGGCCGGTCGCATAACTCACCACACAGCTTAGAACACTTGTAGTGATCACACTCCCACGCACAATTCTCTAAACAGAGATTACAAGGTTCGCCACATTGTTTCTTGCATTCGCTGTGTATGCAACAGTTTTCACATTTTCTTGTACATGGTGGGCATGGCATGACGCAGGCCTCTCTGCATACGTGGGAGCAAACCAACACGCGACCGCATCTTAATTTGCATCGGGTGTGTACACGACCCATTCTACATTCGCCACACTCTCCTAAACATGGGTGATTACAGCTCAAAATAGCTCTACAAGGGACTGGGCAATCAGTGGGCGTGGTGGAACATGCAACATTAACCTTATGTCCACATGGCCAATCATCTCTCCTTACCAACTCCTTGCACTGTTTCGTGCAGGGTTTGCCACAACTTTCTTTACATTCATGATTGCATGGAAGTCTTTTCTCACAAGGCGTTTTGCATTCAACCCGCATTGGGTCCTTACCGCAATCCATCGTTTGAATGTGTCCACATAATGGCAGACTCCTCTGCACTGGAACTTTACAATATTTCTCACATTCTTCGCAACAGAGCTTAGGACACAAGTGAGCACAACCACTGACGTTTTTGCGACAAGGCTCTCCACAGCGGTATTGCACATGGTCGATATCATAAGGATGACAGGACCTTCTGCACGCATGGCCGCATTGTAAACGCACTTTACACGGACGCAAACAACCTCCGTTAGGAACTTTATTCTTGAAATCTTTGGCCGTCTTCACAAAAACCTCACTGCTATGAATTTGACATGCAAGAGGCAAGGCGTTTCCAATGCTACCGGCCGCTTTCAGATCTGCCACAATCTTACTCCAGAACTCACTGTATTTGGAGAGAAGTTCAAAGTTTCCAATGCAGTAAAACCCCATCTTGGCACGGGAAAGGGCCACGCATGCGCGGTTGACAATTTTGATGAAACCAACTTTCTCTTTCTTGTTACTGCGCACAAGGGAAAGGAGGATGATGTCGTTTTCTTCACCTTGAAAGTTGTCAACAGTTGTCAGCCGTACCGTTTTGATCACTTGATCGTTTTCATTTCTGAGGCAATCCCTTATAGCAAACATTTGTCCCGAATAAGTGGTAAGAATTGTTATTTGCTCGGCTTTGTAGCCTTGCTGCAATAGATACCGGCACAGAGAAACTAGAAATCTTGCCTCGTGCTCATTAGTGTGACTGAGTGACTCTGTACTGGACTTCTCTAGAAAACTGTGGCTAATGAAGAACATGTTCTTCTTCATTCCTTTTATGTCTTCATATTCTTCTACAGACTCGTGATTCTCAAGATCTGGGTAGATGTGCTTCATCAAGGCAGCAATTTCGGGCCTCATTCGATGCTGCAAGGAAAGCCTTTCGCATGGAATTCCAACGGTTATCATTCTCTCGAACATTGACACGTCCAACTTATATTTCTTGGCCAATTCATAGACAGAGGGATTTGGCCTAAGTTGCTGATGATCTCCTATTAAAATCAAATGCTGGCAACCTTTCGTCAGAGACGGGATAATGTGAGCCTCCAGTACTTCGGCAGCTTCTTCAACCAGAACGATTTTAGGGGAAACGTGAATGCGTTGAAGAATGTGACGGTATCTAGCAGCGCACGAGGTTGTCATGCCAATTACGCGTGATTTTTGAAGAACATGGTAATCTTCTTCCCGAATCAACTCATTCAATCGACGCCATGCTTTCTCGTATTCTGGTTGCTTGCTCTGTATTTGTTGCAGGTGATGTTTCAAAGCTTTCTTACGCCACAGCCTATAAAGTTTCCAGCGCTGCTGATCATTTAAAAGTTGCAAGAAAGACACCTGTATTTCTTCTTCTTCAGACAACGTTTCCTCATCTTCAAGTTTTCTGCGTAGCTCTCTGGGCGTTTCAGCATCTTCTACTTCACAAATAACCACTTCTGATGGGTTTATACTCGTGCTCTCTTCGTCTTCAACGTCACATTCGTCTGTGTAGTAACGAAGTGATACTTGCATTTGAAAATCTTCATTATCAAACCCGTCATCACGACTGTCCTCGACTTCTTGTCGTGAAACACGTCTCTCCACTCCAAGCCACTCGCAGAACACATCAACAGCACTCTTTCTCTTGTCACTTTCAAACCATTTAACATGACGCTCTGACATAAATTGCTTCAACACAATGTACGATAAAACTCCTCTTCGTGAAAATTTTAGGACGGTCGTGGATAGCTCTAGGCCTCCATTCTCGTTGATCTCTCTCATTTTCCTGTTGGTTTTTCTTCTCGCTCTGAGTATTCTTGCGGGGGTTTCTTTGCTTTCACGAGCTTCTTCACGAAGACATTTTAGGAAATAGGGCTCCAGTTTCTTGCTCTTTGATCGTCCACCAACACGAACAATACCTGTTAAATAACACCAAAGAGCTTTGACTTTGACCAACGTACAGTGTAAAAGAAGTTAATTTCATTATCGACTCTAGGCCAGATGATCAATCTAAAGCGAACCAACTGCCAGATTTGGCATTATAGCGGGCTACGGAAAATACGTCTTTTGACAGTTATGAGTATTTTTCATCAATACAGTGATGGATTGATTGCCCTGGCCCGTCCCAAAATGTGTTAATAACACACAAGGTGTGTCGAACCTAAGCTAAGTTCGACAAAGTTCGACAGACTCTGTCGAACTTAACGCTTTTGCCGCACCAAACTAAGACTGCCGTACCAAATTGATTCAGACGCCGCTCTTTTGCCGTACTTAATTCATCAGTTAGGTTCGGCACATGAGTGGAGCGGCATCTGAACCAGGCCTTACTCCAAAGAAGATATAGACAAAATACGCAAACCATTTTGTATCTAAAAAAATGTACAGCACTTCTTTAGTTCAACATTTTCATTATGGGCTAAGCCAAAAAAAGTAAATAAATACAAAAGGGACAAAAAGGTAAGGATGATAATGAAATATGACGAGGTTTTACAACCATGATACCCCGCCCAAAAGACATCCCTCTCTGTTTTTACAACCATCCAATAGGACGCCTGTCGCACGAGTGCAATGACCTTCTACAGGAAACTAAGCTGACAGATCTGGCGCACAGCGGGCAGTTTAGGGGAAAGACATGGTTGCCGTATACCAGAATAGCCCAAGTATAGCCAAGTACCACACAACAGTTCAATAACCACACCAGTAGTTCAATGACCACACATTAGTTCATTGAGCGTAAACTACATGTAGCTGCGGAAAAAATAGCCACAAATGCGTAGGACCAGCTGTGGTACAACGGTTTGAAACGTGCGGAAAGAGAGTCAAAACACAAGGTTTCATCCACCGTTAACTGTTATGTTTTCTGCTTTATCAACGCGCGCTTTGTCGGGTTATTTAGTGTGAAGTTTCGTCCGCACCGACTTAGCTTTCCCTTTTCAGCGCTGACTCTCTTTCCAGGTCTGTTCAGTGTGCCCTAATGAGAATGGAAGACCTTCTGAGCAGACTATAACTTTTAAATTAACATCAGTCTATGTTCCTGTTTGGATTAGTGAGCTCACTAGAACTTAATAACAGTGTGCCATAGCTTTTTCTCAATTTAATTCTTGTACTGTTGCTAATTGAGTATTTACCACTTACTCAATGCTTCACATTCATATTAAAAAATAACTAACGTATTTGTAGCTATTTTTCCGCCAGCCACACGTAGTTTACGCTCAATGAACTAATGTGTGGTCATTGAACTACTGATGAGGCTATTGAACTGTTGTGTGGTTACTGAGCTAACGAAAAAGAAATTCGTCACATGTGATACAACGTTAATAGCTCACGTAAAATGGTCGAGACAGCAGTAAAACTGAAAACATTTTCAAAAATAATGCGAATTTTTTTATATTTTAACAAACATGTTTCCACGGTACATTCATCATCGTGAGTATGACAGTTATGAAAGTTTACAGTGAAAAAACGTGCTTGTTAACTATAAAATTATGTAGCGTTTTGTTTTCCAACGCAAAGTAATGTATAAATTGTTACAGGCGCGTTAAATATCTATTTCATATCCGTCACACTGACGATGACGGATGTACCGTGAGGGGTCGAAAAATGTTTGTTAAAATTTAAAAAGTCGCATTATTTTTGAAAATTTCTACACGTAAAGTTTTTTTTTACCTGTCATTGGTAAGAGCCCTTCCAAGAACTGGTCCAAGGCGTGATTCGTGTAAGACACCATCAAGATTGGTGCCCGTTCTTCCTCATTCTCCCAGAGCGCGGTGGTCTGTAAAAGAACTTGAGCTATCTTCAATCCAACATATGTCTTTCCAGTTCCTGGCGGTCCTTGAATGACGGCAAATCTTCTCGTTAGAGCCATCTGAAATGCACGCAGCTGTGAAGAATTTAATTCGAGGCTTTCACGGTGGTAAAGCAAGTCGTAAATGCTGAGTTCGTAGTTCGAAGCCATACTTTCATCATTGGACTGCATGCTGTAGTCATCAAAATCTTCGCTTGGGTCATTGGAGGCCACACTGTCATCGTCTGCGCAAGCCCAAATATTATTCTCAGATGGAGCCCAATCAGAACGTAAAATGCTTCTCATGTCATAGTAACCATCCGTTATTTGTTCATAAACAGGTCGTCGCACTTTAGGACTGCACTTCACTATGTGCTCTTGAAAAGGCATTTCATCTGGCTCAATCTTCTTCAAAGCTTCTAACACGTGTCGGTAAGCTTCAAAGAAAGTTGGAGATTCCACCATATCAAACTTCACCTTTGTCTCAATAAACCCGTTTAAATCTTCAAGCTCAACGCCCTCAAATCGCACGTCAAGCTCGCCGCGGCAAATATCATCTCGACTCTCAACGGTTGCGAAATGGAGAGTGTAGAAGTCATCTTCTGAAAGACAAAGAAGGGAGCCAAACTTGAAACGTTTGCTCTTCTCCCAGTTGACGTATCTTAAGGAGTGGTGCAGCGAGTCAAATCGAATTCTGTAAACCATTCCCTTCCTACTGCATTCTGGGTACAGTACTTCGACTTCACGGTAAACGTGGACTTCTTTTGCTGTCTTATTTCCGCTACTATTACTCGCTTTAACACTACCATAGTCTTTTCGAAGACTCCTTATCCCATCACGTAACGGTGAAACACAGTCCTCTCGCAAAAGTCGAAAATGTACATCAAGGTAATGCTCAAGATCCTTGTAACTCCTGTTAACTACGTTGACGCGAAGAAACGGCTTACTACTCACGCTCAGATCTTCAGCTTGTGGAACAACGCTGATATCTCGAAAGTTGCTCTGGGGCTCACGTTCAGGTTGGTCATGGTCAAATTGGACAAATTGTTGGCCAATTATCTCTCTCTTTAAGGCCTCTACCTGGTGAATTTTACGTTCTAAAGCGCCTGCTTCGTTCATACGGTTCCTTTTATTGAGCTCCACAAAAGTTTCTTTGAGTTGAGCGCTGGGTATAGAATGAACAATGTCAAGTCCGAATCTCTTTATCATTTCCAGAAAAACATCGGCCAGTCGTGAGATGACATGAAATGGCTGAAATTCTGTTGACGAAAACAAGAGCATGCGGCTTATAAAACTATTCAGATGTAGCTGGAGAAAGTTTTCCTTAACCACGACACGCAACAAGTCTTCCGAGAACTGTTGCACTCCCTTTGTGGAGCAACACAGGTGTATGGCTTGGATAATGAGTTGCATCAAACCAAGTCTTATTTCTTCCTTTGAAGCCAGTAGTGCTTGAAATCTTTCACGTTTGTTCCAGAGATCGACAATCCCATTTTCAAGAGGCTTAGATGTGCAAATCTCTTCCAAAGCTTTGTACTTTATCGGCTCGACCTCGCTAAGCTTATCGCTTTCCTCGTCACGACGCGTTCCAACTCTTTTTCTTGAAACCTCTTCCCGACCATGTTCCCGACGATCATATGTTAAACGACCACGTTGCTCGCATGCACCTCGACGACGTCTTCTTTCACTGCCAGTGCCCTGATCGCGTGTACCGCGACCACCAAACCTGTAGCTGTCACGACGAGTTCTATGATCACGTGAGAAAAAAGCTTCCTCCCTTCTTCGCCTCTTTTCTCTTGAATCGTGCCCAAGAGGATGGGAATCGTCAAATTCACTGAACCGCCTCTTTCTGTTCGAGGTCATGTTGATCCCGGAATAACACAAGGGCTGATTGCTGGGCCTGAAACATACACACAATAATGCAGAACGCAGGAAAGCATTGGTAAGAGGTTAGTGGGCGGGGGCGGGGCGCGGCAGCCCCCCAAGGTTGGCATATTTTGATTTTTTTTTTTGGCAAAACGCTCATGACTCGGGCAAAAGCAGTTGAGATAAAACTTTAAAAAAAGCGAAAAAACGACTGTTATTCCAAACGTCAGGCTAAATAGACACATGCCAAATCAAGGTGTGTGATGTCAATCAAGTGTTAAAAGATTGTGGGAACTTGTCGATTACATTCATTCATTCTTTCCCTCGTTGTCCATCCTGAGTTTGAATCTTTCAGTTATATTCTCTTAACGAGATTTGTACAGTCCCCTGAGAAAATACGAGTTGGCGTCGCCCAACGGGTGAGTAAAACATTTTGTTCGTTTAATCTTTACTGCCCTTGAAAGAAATGTTGTCTGGTTAATACTGCCAGGAAAATTCTTTGCTCTTTTATTAGGTTTTTTATGTGACTAGCAGACATTCTTTCAACAAGGTGGCTTAGTTTGTTACACTGAAACCAGGTCAAGCGTTCCTAGGAAGAAGAAAATCATAAGGCCGGTCATTTAAACAAAGTTCAATTAGCGGTTAACAAAACCGCGTTTTAAGTCATTTTTAGTTTTCCATTATCAAAACACCGTTTATGGTGAAAAGTTTCGTTAAGCGCAGACTAGAAAAACATTCATCTTATTAAAATAACCCACTAAGGAAGAGATCTGGAGGTCCAAAGATTTGTTAAGCCGCGGCCTATATAAGTGAGACTTCGTTTAAATAACCGATCCCTACTGTTTTCAAGAGAGATATTTGAGTCTCGGACTTTGTTAAAGGTCAAGGTACCGAGAGGCTTCCTTGCTTCGCAGACACTTTTCAACTGATTTGTTTTACCCGCCACATTGTTTCAATGACAATGACTTCTCAAACTTGTGAGCTGTGTGATGAAATGTGCAGTATGATTTGCCGCAGAATCCCGATTTCTTGAACCCTCGGGTTTTCGAAATTTCCGGTAATTCAAACCAAACCTTTCACCAGACAAACACTGTAATTTTACACTCGATTCTTCAAATTTGCTTTTCCCAGGGCGTTTCGAAAAGTCGGTGTTCCCCCTGTAGTTTTGTGAGTGTTGAGAAGATTACCCTTGTAACCTTTTCAATCCATGGAGTGGTCAAAGTCTAAATTAAACAAGAACTTACAGATTCGACTTTCTAAGGTACATTTGAAAAATAGTACTACCATGTGAAAGTACTACCAAAAAGATTTTATTTGAATGGTAACACCTCGAGGTTTTGTCTTTAGAGTCAAGAGTTAGGACCAAATCCTATGACGAAGTTTATTTACCCGACAAAATTAACCTCAAGACAGTCGTATAAACATAACAAATTTCTTTAATTTTCCAGACATGTTTCGAGGGTACATCCGTCATCTTTAGTGTTACATATTTTGAAATCGCCGTTGAATTTAAAGCGCGCGCGATCTTACAAAGGACCAAGTGAAGCTTAAGGAATCCATGTTTATAAAATGGGAGAAGCCCGATCTCAACCAGCAGGTGAAACACATTAACCTGACTCTCTCCCTGTAAAGAACTAAGCGTCACTCATTTAATTTTGTTTTAGTACGCAATATTGACAACGTAATGTAACGAACTTTGTAAAATCGCGCGCGCTTTAAATTCAACGGCGATTTCAAAATATGTAACACTGAAGATGACGGATGTACCGTCGAAACATGTCTGGAAAATTAGAGAAAGTTGTTATGTTTATACGACTATCTATATTGTTGCTGCTATCTAGATCTTTTTAACCTCAAGCCCTTTTGAATTTTTAGCTGTTACCTTCGAGCACGATCTTCCACATCCGACAGAGCCCTTATCAAGGCGCTCACAGACTTTCAGAAAGAATTCTTCGAATGGCGTGTTAATGTTTAACTACTGTATTGCATGGTATTTGTTTACCGTCCTTATTAAAATGATGAAAATGCACTATAAGAAAGCTAATACCGTTTGATACTATCCCTTCATTGATACAAAAAATCAATCACGAATTTATAGATATCTCGCAGAGGGGTCGCATTGTAACAGCTCTAGTGTTGTGAGAAAGTTCGAGACATCATTTTACCAATGAAAGCTGAAAAGCTGAAATTTTTAAGCTAATTAAAGATGCGTTTTAAGTGACTGGGCCTTCGGATAACGATTATTGAAGGTGCTTTTGCTTTTCGTCTTTGGAAGTCATATTACGCAGAATGCGGGACGCGCAAAGGCTCGCGCACAAACCGTTCAAGTCATTTCTTCAAAGCCAAACGGTTCGAGAATTTAATAGTCATCTAAAAGACCTAAAAACCGATAGAAACTATTACCATTGTCTTGGGTAACACCACTACGTTGGCATTCATCCGGCGCTCGGTACTCTACTGTAAACGTCTGTCGCTGGAACACATTGATCAGTGTAAAAGTAATATCTTCAGCGAAAACTGGCGCTGTTAATTGAAAAATTCCATTAATCAAAACTTAGTCTTGCCAAATGACTCTAAAGGACTTGACTAGAATCTTTTATTTCGGACTTTATTATTCGTCTGCAACGAGCGACTATGAGGAAGCCAAATGTTTTTTTACCCGCAGCGAGGAAGATAACAGTAAAACCACCGTACAAACCAAAATTTGTTTGTCCGTAGACATGCTTAGCTGCATTATTAAAGTTATAGAATTCGAAGCCAAAGTATGTTTTAAGAGCCCTTAAAGAGAAAATTTATAATAAATGAACACTGATCACATATAACATGGGACAAAAGAACGGATCGGATTTCGGCGTCTTTTCGTAGCGAAGCCTCCCGCTCCCGCCTACTGCATTGTATAATTCACGTATGCTTACCTGGTTACATAACCAAATCTTCAAGCTTCAGTTATTTTCAAAGACTAAATGTAACAATTATTTTATGGAATATTGAAAAATGCAAGCTTGTTTGCATTTGAAATAGATGTTGTTGTTTCTTTCCGAGAAAGACCTTCAGAGCTTCCCAGAAAAGCTTGTTTTTTCCTGATTGGCTCAATGCATAGCCAATCAAGTTGTGACTTAAAAAACACAAAGCTCTTCAGGTCTGATATGTTCGGACGAGAGAGAAAAGATGGTCGAGAAGTGAATCTAAATGAAAAAACCCATAACTGCCTGTATTCGGGCTTCTTTATTGCAATATCTCTCTTATTGATAACCATAAAAAATGTACATTATGTAATCATTGTATTGAAATTAAAAGAAGTAACAAGCGGGTATCATCTTCGAATAGCAAGAGTTCATATATTGCTACATAATATATAATTGCTATATAATTCACAACTCTTTTCAGTCTTGTAAGTCGATGATTTTTACAGATTTTGATTTTTAAATCTTAGATTTCTTAGTGTTATTTTCTTTTCTTTTTTTTTCTTTTTTTATTTTTTAGCTATTTATGAGATAATTACAGGACCCTTTTGATAACAGTTCTTTTTATTAGAACTGATAGGTTATCCTGTATAAATATTCGCGTTATTATTATTATTATTATTATTATTGTTATTGTTATTATTATTATTACGGCACACCTGAGGTAGAAAGTTCTGTTTCAACTTGTTTTGGTCAAATTTGCTACCTTGAACATTGTCCACTTGGAATTGTTTTCAGTTAGAATATATCAATATTACAGTCCATTTATACTCTGAAAATAATTCACTAATCCCTTTGTTCATGATATTTCTAGGAGCACACATGGCATATATATATATATAGTACCAATTAAGCTTTCAATAGTATTAGGTAGTATCAAACACAGTCAAAATTGTTGGCAGTTCAGAAAGCATTAAAAAAATACCACCTGTTCAATTTTAAAAAATAGTTTAAAATACAACTGATTTCCAGTATTTATCAATTGCACGAGACTGTCATAGAATTTGGTCCTGTTTTACACCCTTTTAATGTAAACCAAAAGGAAATACTTTTGAAGAACGACATGTAAATTGTCTTCATTTACTGTATCGCTATACTACAGTCACTTGATTAGTTTTGTTTGATTAATCGAATAATGCGGCGGCCAAATGCTTCTATTAGAACTCTATTAGTGGACTGTTAGAATAAAGATTTTGTTCATGGTGACGTGTGTTTTTCGTCTCTTTTCCCAAGTACCCAAAAATAGACGGCAATGATAAAAAACTTCCTAAGCTTTTTTGGAAATTAAGCTTCGTTCTAGCTCACTCAAACCAACAGTAAAAGCGGTGAAATTAATGTTTTGCAAATAATAGAGCCTGAATGATTAGCTATGATTCGTTGAAAAGTCTGCCGTAAAGACTGACATTTAAGTGGAAAAAGACCATAAATTGATCTCTGTCGGAAAATATCCCCCTGAATTTGTATAAAGTGTCCTCCGTTTTTAACGTTTGTTTTAAGTCCTACAAAACAAGTCAAGTATAAAGTAAGCTCAACAGCGAAAAATTATGCACTTTTGTTATCGCCGAACAATCCGACTGAAGCAAGAAAATTTCTCTTGCAATAACAGGACAAATTACAGAAGAAGACAGAAATTTATTACTCACAAAAACAACTGCTGCCAGGTCTTCTCAAGAAGCCGTAATGATCAGCCGTTGTTCGTAAATAAATATAAGGTTAAAGTAGGATGACAGTCGTTTTCGCTAAAAAACAAGTTTTCTGGATTTCGCAGAGCAAAACATAAACATCTTTTAAGCAAATCCAAACCATACTCCACGACTTCTAACGAACATGCGAGTATTTTCACTTTAGGTGGACTTTAAGACTCTTTTACCTTTCTTCTTTTTAGTTTTAATTAATCGTTAAGGAATAAATAAGCAATTTTTCTTTCTCAGTTTTACAAAAAGAATTTTCATTCAAACTAAACCATTGTGGTGTGGTTGTAATCAGCCAATAAAAGCTTTTGTTAATGCGTCGCGCGTTACGAGAATTTTGTACTTAATCGAAAAGCAAGCATTTTTGTCAGCTATGTTATAAAAGAATTTGCTCATGCTTTTAGCTGTGCGTTACCCTGCGAGCAGAGGCCCTTCGATCTTCCTAGATAAGTCGGGAAGAGGAAGGGACCTCTTCCCGACTTATCTAGGAAGATCGAAGGGCCTCTGCTCGCAGGGTAGCTGTGCGTATATCGAGTTATGGATGCACTTGGGAAGTTTGGAGAGCACTCAAGAAGCTAGAGTTGCACTCGGCTATCGCCTCGTGCAACTCTTACGCATCTTTCCTGCTCTCTCCAAATTTCCCGCGTGCATCCATAACTCGATATACGCACGCTGAGCAATTCGCTAAGCACGAACAAATTCTTAATTTTCATTTGAATACATAGCACTATGATTCATTTCCATTACAAATCTAACATGACAACGTATCAGAACGATTTTTTCTCTTTTTTCGCTTTACAACAACATTAACAAGGAAAAGTGATACTAGGAAAACGGAATTTTACACTTTTTTAAGGGTTCGCCTACAAAGTGTCCGTGTACGACATCTAAGAGATTCACGATGACCCATACGCCTATAAACATTACATTCAAGATTGCTACTAAAGTATGTCGTTTCCATTGACAACGCCATACAGCCATAACAGCCATGTTTTGATATCGAGTCTCGATTGCTAGAGAAACGCTGATGAAAAACCATTCTATTACCAGCATGACTGAAGTGGAAAGGGCGAACTCTTTAATCATACTTGTGACAGAAGTGTTTTCTAGAAAGATCAGTTTGTGCATGTAGAAGGAGCCATTGACGGAAACTATAGCGGTTGATTCGTACAACATACTCATGATAGCTACATCGGCTGTAAGTCTTTCCAGGCGAGGAGTTCGAAAACTTCCCCATGGAGATGCCTTTCTTGTCCGAAGCGAATGACAAACGTGATCAGTCACAACTATGGTGCTTCGTTCTATGACTTCTGCAGCACCGTGAATTATTCCAACAATAGCGATGGATTGTAGACTGTTAAGTTCTAATTGTAAACCACGGATCATAATCGCTGACACAAAATACAATGGTGCTAAAAGTACGTACGAATATCCCGGATGAGTGATGTTCCATAGACGCTGAACACAAATTCGAGAAGCGGCCTTTAGCACCAGCCCAGCAAGAGGAGAAAAAAGGGCAATAACCAGCTTTCTTTCTTCTTTCTTTTCTTTGTTGTATGCTGGGTAAATAAAGAGTCTCATACAACAACCCAAAATAATAAAGCTAATAGTTGGAACAAACATTTTACAGAGCAGGAGTATTCGTTTCCGTTTTGGTCGATTTAAAAAGTTACTTGCCACAAGATAAAACTGCAACATTGAACTGCATAACCAAAGAGTATAAACTGGAACATTGTACAATGCAGAAAGTGCGAAAAAAGGCTTTCCTATAAGTTGCAGTGTTACGCGGTAAAGTGAATCCAGACAGTATATAATTAGACAAGTCTGGAGTAGTTTTTGTTTAAGTCCTTTCAGCTGAAACGAGCGAAACAAGAATAGCAAATTCAAAACCGGAGAGAAGTAAATTAGAGCACAACTAACTACGTCAGCAATAGTCCTCATCCACTGCTCGCGCAAAGTCATTTTTTCCTTTTGGTATTCACAATTCATCACTGTTTTATAAATCACGAAAGCTAGTGCGATGTATATGGTACCAATGCCAATGGCGGCCAGAAGTGAGATCAAAGATCCAATAAACATTGAGTCACAAATGGTGTGACGAATGGAAGGTCTGAATGACTTCCAAGCCATTGCTCCTGCTGTTTCTGTATCGTTATTCTGCAGTGGTTCATCGTGCTCCTGTGTAGAACTCGCATTTATAATCCTTATGTTGAGATTAAATGACGGTAGTGATGATCTATTTTCACCGTATTCTTGATAAATGAGTTCTTTCACAGGTTTATAATACCATTCTCGCCCTGTGCTTTCCAGAGGATGGTAGCCTAAAATCTCTGCTGTGTATTCGGGTTCCTCTGGATTGTAGTGCTCGGTTAATCCTCGTGTAAAACCATACACGATGCGGCCAAATGTTTCTATTAGTGGAACGCTACTCATTTTCCTTTGTTAGTAGTAGCAGTGTCTCACTGCATTTTGGCTTGAAGAGCTTTTAAATAGAACACCCGGAAACTTCGTAATTTATGCGGAATAATTAGGAGTAGCTGAAACGGGTGTAGCAGCTCTACTAATTCGATACCCCAACTGTGAAACAGTGAGGAAATAATGATAAACAATGATGTGTTATTGTTTTCTGCGACCAATAAGGAAACACCTTACGCGGAGCTCCCAAATTACTAGCTGAAATTGCCACAACAAAACCAAAGAAACACGAAGCATGTTTAGGCAAGCACTACTTAAAATACAATGTTTTGGTCTGGTTCTCACCTATTAAGATTTAATGTTAATAATCATTTTACAGGGACGCCCAACGACATAACTGTTCGAAGCAGCAAATATTACCTATTAAGAAATTTGTGAAACTCGAGAAAGGATAAAGATAGCTGAGAAATTGTCCCTTTCCTCTCTAACATATTCGCAGCTTTTCTACTAACTTACTACCTACGATTTTCGGGGGTTGTTTTGTTCACATTTTATTACCAGGATATTGAGATAATTATTCAAAAAACGTCGTCTGAAAAATTAGACAAAAAGTTGTCTCCTAGAATTTCCTAGAATTTTCTAATGAAAGTACGGTACACCATGTCATAGAACTTTGGACCAGACCTATCAGAGTACATGTAGCCATAGTTATTAGGGGAGACTGGTTATGAAAAGCGGCAAACATCAATGATAAAAACAACAGTGCTGCAGTTTATGTTGGAAGCACCCTGAAAGTGCACAATCCTTTGTTTTCTGTTGGCAAATTGTTACGGAATAAATTAATGCAACGTTTTCTATTGGTCAATACAATCAAAATGATAGGAATTCTTTTGAACGTTGTGCACTTTCAGGTCCACAAAAACATATAACAAAGAAGTCTGACGGGTTTCATAACCATTCCACTCAATTAACTATGATGTAGCTAACAGTTTCGGATGAGACGAAGAAGCCCGCGGGCCTAAAACTTTCTGGACACCCAAGTCCCCCGAAGACATCTGACCAGATGAATAGTTTTTAGGCAGCTCCCGCTCCGAACTAACCAAACAAGCTTCTAAAAAGCGTACAGAAAAACATTTGAGACATGTTGGGTACCTCTGATTTCACTGACCTCTTCCTTGGCAAGAAGACCAAACCTGGTCATGCGTGGTTATCGCGTCATCAGACAAAATTAACACAAGTTTAAACTCTGACCGATTTCCGCAAAACGGTAGAAACCTGTGCCGTTCCGCGACTGGGAGCCGTTGGCGAATTTCCAAGGAGTATAATTCAAAGAAACGAAAGGTATCACACCGAGAAGGGAAAAAAGTTTCCTCTGAATGAAGGCTGTTTTCGAAAATGAAAAATGAAGTAAAAGTAAAGTCTTTATTCATCAAAAGATAAAAAGACATATCTTTTGTTACAAGTAAGTGTAAGAAATTTTAAAAAGGTAAAAAGCAAGAATTAAATTCTAGTATATTACATAGCTTAAAAGCTAAACTGTTTATAAACGAGTTTTTAAAACGCATAGTGTTAATCTTAAGTTTGAAACAAGTTTCAACGAGCATAATTTCAACTACGTTTAATAATTTTATTGTTTTTTAACGAAATGGATTGTAAAAGGTTTTAACAGTCAGTTGTTTTGTCAATAAAAAGTTAGTTCTTAATAATTGGCTAATTGCTCAGCCTTGTCAAGTTGAACACGTTAATCTTTGTACCCACGGATTCAAGCATATCAAGGTGGAATCTTCAATTTTCTAGTGATGAAGGGTCTGGAGGTGTTAAAAAAACTACCATGGCTACCTTGATAACAGTTTCTCTTCAGACCACTAGACACTACAATCGACTCTCTCTTAACGGACACCTCTATAAGACAGACACCTCTGTAAAACTGACACCCAAAGTTCTCCCTGCTTATCTCTCTAAGACCGACACTTAGTACCGGATCCAAAGGTGTTCGTGTTAGAGATAGTTGATTGTATATGAAATATGAAATACTTAACCAGATATACGATACAATGTGATGAATTTTACGCGCACTCTGATTAGTCGTTGCCCATGATATGTCATTGGAGTGCAAACGCATGGATGACGTCATGGGAAACTTGTTTTCTTTTGTTTTATCCAACATGACGAGCAGTTTTGAACTAATATTTGCGAGATAATTTTGGATTAAGGAAGTGAAGGCCTTGGTGAAAAACGTTGTTGTTACAACTTTGTCATTTCAACTCTGTGTTCCACAAAAGGTTGCCTTCTCCTTTTTTGGATTTCAAGTTGCCACATTACTTTACAGGAAAAGAAATATCACGAAAAAGGCATTTTGCACTTTTTTAAGGGCTCGCCTACAAAGTGTCCCTGCACGACTTCTAAGGGAATCACTCTGACCCATACGCCTATAAATAATACATTCAAGATTGCTACTAAAGTATGTCGTTTCCATTGACAACGCCATACAGCCATAACAGCCATGTTCTGATATCGAGTCTCAATCGCTAGAGAAACGCTGATGAAAAACCATTCTATTACCAGCATGACTGAAGTGGAAAGGGCAAACTCTTGAATTATGCTTGTGACAGCAGTCGTTTCTAGAAAGATCAGTTGGTACATGTAGAGGGAGCCATTGACAGCAACTATAGCGGTTGATTCGTACAACATACTCATGATAGCTACATCGGCCACAAGTCTTTCTCGGCGAGGAGTTCGAAAACTTCCCCATGGAGATGCCTTTCTTGTCCGAAGCGAATGACAAACGTGATCAGTCACAACTATGGTGCTTCGTTCTACGACTTCTGCAGCACCGTGAATTATTCCAAGAATTGCGATGGATTGGAGGCTGTTAAGTTCCGCTTGTAAACCACGGACCATTATCGCTGACACAAAATACAAAGGTGCTAAAAGTACGTACGAATATCCCGGATGCGTGATGTTCCAAAGACGCTGAACACAAATTCGTGAAGCGGCCTTTAGTACCAGCCCAGCAAGAGGAGAAAAAAGGGCAATAACCAGCTTTCTTTCTTCTTTCTTTTCTTTGTTGTAAGCTCGGTAAATGAAGTACTTCATGCAAAAACCCAAAATAACACAGCAAATAGTAGAAGCAGACATTTTGCCAAGCAGGAGTAGTCGTTTTTGTTTTGATCGATTTAAAAAGTGACGTGCCACGAGATAAAACTGCAACATTGAACTGCATATCCAAAGAGTATAAACTGGAACAACGTACAAGACAGAAACTGTGAAAAAAGGCTTTCCCATAAGTTGCAGTGTTACGTTTATTAAGCTACCTGAGGAGCCCATGATCATGGTCTACCGTCCAACCATGTTGGGAGTTGTTGCGTCCGTTTTGGTAGTGGTGTGCAAACGGATGTAACAACTTCCAACAATGTTGGGATCTGCACTGCATCGTGGGAAGAACGTAACCCATAAAACTTAGTGAACTCCAAGGAGACCTTGTGTAAAGCACCTCCCTCGCCCCAACAATGTTCGAGGAACTGTGCAACTGGATCCAACATTGTTGCGCTACCATTCTGCGATCACTGAACAAAATAAATGTTGGTAGTTGTTGGCTCAAAGTTGGACCGGTTTCAACCTTTGCGCAACAACTCCCAATAACTTGCATCAACATGCAACAGGGTGTGCAAACGGACTAAACATGTGACATTCAACAATGTTACTTCCTTTTGCACGGGGCTTTAGAGCTCGGTTTTGTTGGACACTCGAGACTCAAGCCTTTTAATCAAAGTTCAAAACTCACATAAAAATAAGACACTGAGCATAATTTCAACTACGTTTAATGATGTTATTGTTTTTAACCGAAATGGGTTGTACCAGGTTTTAACAGTTAGTTATTATTCATTCAAAATATTTCCCCGATTCTGATTGGCTAAAAGCACATGTTTAATTCACCATAACCAGTTACTGATGACCAAATTTGGAAGAAATTTGACTTTAACGAGGAAATGACGTCAAAAATGCAGCGTTTTCGTAGGTTAAGGCACCGTTAACCGAGAAGACCTGGGTACGAGGTTGAGTTGTTTTGGTTGTGAATTTGAAAAAATGGCGGACATTTCACTCGTTTCAAGAGTAATAACTAGGCGAAAAATGGCTAAAAACATGGCAAGAACAGCAAGAAGACAACTCGAAGGGCGACATCTGCTATTTGGAGAATATTTGTGGAGCTGGACAAACCGAAACGTACACTATCGAAGATGAACTGAACATCGATGGATCGATAGAGGTAAGCATGTTTTAGCTATGTTTTTAAACTAGGAATTATTTTGAATGAATAATAAAACAGTTATTGAATTCGGCTTTCGTATCATATGAAGAATTATGGAGATCTCGGAGGGTGTTATCCGCCTCGGCCTACGGCCTCGACAGATAACACCCTCCTCGATCTCCATAATTCTTCATAAGATACTCAGCCTCATTCATTAACTGTTAATTATTTTGCCAATAAAAAGTTATTTGTTAATAATTGGCTAATTGCTCAGCCACTTCAATTTGAATTCGTTAAACTTTGTACCTACGGATTCAAGCATATCAAGATGTAGCCTGAATTTCATCCGATTACTTCGGGTCGTTATTACTCCCTCAGAAGAGAAAACGACTCGAAGCAATCGGATGAATTTCAGGCTAATCAAGATGGAATCTTCACTTTTCTACTGATGAACGGCCTGAATGTGTTAAAAAAAACTACCATAGCTTCCTTGACAACGGTTTCTCTTCAGGTCACTAGACGCTACAATCGACTCTCTCTTAACGGATACCTCTATAAGACAGACAGCTCTGTAAAACTAACACCCAAAGTTCTCCCTGCTCATCTCTCTAAGATTGCCTCACACTTAATACAAATTTGTCATTACAACTCGGTGTTCCACGAACGGTTCCTTTGTCCTTTTTTTTATTTCAAGTTGTCCATTACTTTACAGGAAAAGAGATATCATTATTAGGAAAAAGGCATTTTGCACTGTTTTAAGGGTTCGCCTACAAAGTGTCCGTGTACGACATCTAAGAGATTCACGATGACCCATACGCCCATAAACAATACATTCAAGATTGCTACTAAAGTATGTCGTTTCCACTGAAAACGCCATACAGCCATTACAGCCATGTTCTGATATCGAGTCTCAATCGCTAGAGAAACGCTGATGAAAAACCATTCTATTACCAGCATGACTGAAGTGGAAAGGGCAAACTCTTGAATTATGCTTGTGACAGAAGTCGTTTCTAGAAAGATCAGTTGGTACATGTAGAGGGAGCCATTGACAGAAACTATAGCGGTTGATTCGTACAACATACTCATGATAGCTACATCGGCCACAAGTCTTTCTCGGCGAGGTGTTCGAAAACTTCCCCATGGAGATGCCTTTCTTGTCCGAAGCGAATGACAAACGTAATCAATCACAACTATGGTACTTCGTTCTACGACTTCTGAAGCACCGTGAATTATTCCAAGAATTGCGATGGATTGTAGACTGTTAAGTTCCGCTTGTAAACCACGGACCATTATCGCTGACACAAAATACAAAGGTGCTAAAAGTACGTACGAATATCCCGGATGCGTGATGTTCCATAGACGCTGAACACAAATTCGTGAAGCGGCCTTTAGTACCAGCCCAGCAAGAGGAGAAAAAAGGGCAATAACCAGCTTTCTTTCTTCTTTCTTTTCTTTGTTGTAAGCTCGGTAAATGAAGTACTTCATGCAAAAACCCAAAATAACACAGCAAATAGTAGAAGCAGACATTTTGCCAAGCAGGAGTAGTCGTTTTTGTTTTGATCGATTTAAAAAGTGACGTGCCACGAGATAAAACTGCAACATTGAACTG